AATCATCGGATCTCTCCCTCTCCTACTCCAAACGGCATTGGTATTGTTCCTGATCGGCTTGCTTGTTTTGCTTGTACCCCTCCAACCCATTGTTGGCTCCATTGTCTGCGCTATAGTGGGGGTAACTCTTTTATTCCTTGGGATCACCACTATCCTCCCATCAATTCAATATATCTATCCAAAATTCCGTACGCAGTGCGCTTACAAGTCATCCCAGTCCTGGTCGTTCTTCGTGATATCTGCTTTCTGGATGTTCGATTTTCGTATGTTTACGAATTGGGCGATGATAGATCATTGGGAGGTGACTTGTGTATCGAATGGCATGGGATTTACTTTATCGAGGGTTTACGAACTGCTGTCGAACAGTATTGACGCGTTCCAAAGTATTTATGCCTTTCTTGCCGATACGAGTCTCAAACCTACCATTTGGGCCGACCTCGAGATTTTATCAGACTTTATTGATGGATTGGACGCCCCGCGAAAGGATGCCATACTATCCTTATCTGGCACGATGGAAACTCATATTAATCTAGGCCATGGTGCCCGACGTGTCAAGGAGCTCAAAGGGCATGCCGAAGCACACGCCGGCAGGCTGAAACCGAGATACAGGATCAGGACCTGGGGTGCTATGAGCAGACACCTTGCAGGACCTCTTCCCATCGAACCAAGCCACCATTATCAGCTACAGACTCAAAAAACGTTGTGTCAATTATTGAAAAGCGACGATCACTTTTCCAACTCGACGATATATAACCGGTATGTTGAACATTGGGCGCGATGTATGGAAGGGTGGCCGACGCAGGCTACAAGTAATAAGTTGGCGAATGAGATATTTTATCCTATACACCGGGCCACTCAAGGTCATATCCGATGGGATCCCGGTTCGTCCGATTTTTTTTTTCAGTTCGTTAAGTGCCCATTAATTCATTTATTCTCACCAATCCAGTGATTGCTTCATACCTAGTTGGGTTGTTTTCTCATCTACTGAGGGAGAACTTCGTTTCAATGGATGCTATGAATTCCCTTGTCATCCACTGCTCGGGTCTCGTAAAATGCCACTACCACCAGCCCCTCTCCTCATCACCCTTCGTGCTACTCCAGGATATCCAGAATTGGGTCAACCGGATGCCTGACTCCGATCTCACTGAGAAGGCTACGAGCGCTGGGCAAGTGTTGTACCGATTGGTTTATAAGGGGGATCTCTTCGTCGAGCTCTCGCACACTTCCGAAGAGGAGAAACGGGACTTAAGGGAGTTCGCGCAATTCTTTATCGAGTTTATTGAGGGACTGGAAAATCTACACGAGCCGATAAGGCTATTGCCACACTTTGGTGAACGGCCTTTGGTGATATTGAGATCCTATCTCGACCAGTACCCGCCCCCCTCGTAGTATCTGGCGCAATATATATATATTTATCATCGACCTACGGAAGCGGCTTCACTGGTTTTTGCAAGATTGGACGACCCAACCTTGGCCGTGAACATACGCATATACCTATATCGCAGCAGAAATTCAAGTGGATTTTGTTCTTCCCAGGACAGGAATTTTTGGGAAGTTGAAAGCTGAAACAGTTAGGAGGCGTTTACTGCGATTGTATTTTGAGAAGCTTCAGGACGATATATGTGGCTATGTCACCCGACACTCTACGAATACCTGCAGTCCGTCTAATAAATAACACCTGCGACAAATCACATGCCCCCCTCTTTATTTCTTGACTCTACAACTTCTGAGAGAATTCATGGTCCCTTATTGCACCTGTTCTGGAGCTCATCCGAGGTATTCAGTTGCGCGGAAATTCTCACTCGGTGCTTGCAACTTGTGCCTACTTATGCGCCGAGGCGGGGAAATTCTCCCCATTGTTCAGACGGTCTGGGGAAACCGAGGCTTCTTATTGGCACGACCGTATATTAATCCCGAAATAGGCATCGGTAAAAATTTCAAGTGGACGGGTGGAAGCTTTGTGGATGCGTCATGTGGGGAATGGAAACTGATGGAAGGATGGGAAAGAGAGTTGACATGTTCTGTTTATGCCCAGAGCGTTAACCCCGTAGTCCGTTGGAGACCGTCGATGAGACTGGGTGGGGGTTGTTTGATATTGAATTGAGTAAAAAATAGTTTAGCTAACACTCTTCAAGTGCATCAGTAATATGGCACCTCTGACAGTGTTTTGTAGAAAGGTAGTCATATCGACCCCAAAATAGTCACAACTTATGTTCCCAGCGAGGGCTATGCGAGTCCATGTCACCTGAGGAATTCGCATATCAGGCGTTCGCCTTTGAGTGTGGATAGGGAGTTAGAAGGATATCAGGTCTGCCAGCAGGTCATTTGGCGGCGGTTATGTGTTTGGATTGCCAGCAGTATACGCCGAGGTTTTGTCGGTAGGGAATCATCCGACCCTCGCTGAACCCTGGTACAGGGAAATAGACAGTATATAAGATGGTTTGGTGGGTCCGCAGTCGGTACGAACGCATGAGAAACCCCCCACCACCGTGGCTGTGAGAGCGTACAGTCGAGAAGAGCGCCAATCGTGCGAGCGGGACCGCAGTGGTACCGTCTGCCAGCAAGCCGTCAATCTAATCACAGGCTTGGCTCAAAACGGTGAAACACAGCCGTGTTTGGGGGTGTTTGGACTGAAAGGTATATAACAGTCACGACTTGCCACGTATTCCCTACGATTCTCCACGTATTCGTCCTGCCCCTCCGCAGTAATCTCGGTTCCCTCAAGACTCAGCCGACACAACACCCCTTTTCCCTCTAAACGAAAAGTTTACCTATCAGTATACACTACCGTTTACCAGCCATGACATACCAGCATACTTTCATCGACCCCTCATCCCTCTCCCACTCGTCCCCCTCGCCCGCACCAGAATCTGAAGCAGGCTCTTCTACTTCAGGGTCCCGTAAACGTCCTCGTACTGAGGCCTCGTCCGAAGATCGCAAGGAGGCCCGTGCACACCGTAACCGCATCGCCGCACAGAACTCGCGCGATCGCAGAAAGGCCCAATTTTCGTACCTCGAGCGCCGAGTTGCCGAACTCGAGGATGAAAATAGGGTTCTCCGCGCCGGCATGAATGGCCCACCCGTAGTACCCTCGCCCACATTTGTACCCAACACCCTTGCGACACAAGCAGAGGAAGAACGCAAACGCCGCGAAGCACGGGAGCGTGAGCGGGAAAATGAGGAGCTGAAAGAGCGGATAAAGACGCTCGAGCGGGGCTGGGACGCCGTTATGAAGGCACTTGCCGCTCAAGGTCTACCTCTCGCCACAAGCGCACCCTCTCCATCGACCCCTACACCATCCATCCCCGCCTCCAAACCCATTTCCTCGCCGACACCCCCAACATCATCCGCCCTTTCCGCCCCTATCTATCCCATCTCCCCTGCCCCCTCTCCCGCCTCCCTCGACTTCTCTCCCTCTGAGCAACCGGAGCCTGAGCAAAAGCAAGAGCCCACTCGCCACCTAGCACGGGTGGCGACCATCTCGGTGCTAACCCCACCGCAGATGTCCCTGCAGCGGGTGGCCTCGACCTTGACCTCGTCCTCCATGCTCCCCCTTCGCCTCTCCAGACCCCTACCCCTAGCTCTCAAAACCAACACACACCTTCCACCGCAGTCCCTACTCTCCTCGTCGACGACGAGGCTGTCATGGAGGACCTGCTCCGGGAGATCCTCGCACCCATCCCTCCTGCGTCCCCCACCGTCACGCGGGCTGCGGCGCTCCCCGAGATTCAAGACGCGGCGACGAGTGCGGCCAGCGCCCGCCCGCAAGTAGTGGAGACCACGGTGGGTGCATCCGGGACTGAGTTGATGGGTCTCGGACTGGGTGCGGGGTGGGGAAATGACAGTACCAGCGAGCTGGAGATGCAGAGGATCTTGGCGGAGATGGGCGTCGTAGGAGAGGGTTATGAGCAGACCGCGGTTCAGGATGGGTACGAGCTTTCTGATCTCGATGTGGAGATGGGCTGGGAAATGACGATGGGAGGGATTGCCATTGACCTTGGTGCATTCAGTAACGGGCAGGGTGTGGGTGTCTTTTAGGCGCACTTTCGGGAACGGTTCCGGACTCCATTCAAACCTGACCAGCGCTTGACATTGGGAAGAACCGGATAACGACGCAAAATGGGGTAGGCGCTTGGAGTGGCTACTATGCGTTCGTTGGTTCTCTCGTGAAGATTGTGTGTATATATCAGCGGTCCTCATTGGACGCCTGCATACCCCTCACTCTTTCCGCCCGCCCGTCTATTGTTCCGCTCGCGGAAACACCTGGCATCCCTTTTTATCTATGTACAAACAGCTTTCCCAGTTCTATCTATACTCCCAATCGCAAAATCAGCTCTCGACTCTGTTCTCTTTCCATCTTTCTCTCTACTCGACTCTTTCCGGCTCTCTATCTATCTCATCTATCTCAAGAACACCGGCACCAGCACACACGAGAAGGACTATCATTTTCAATATTTAGTTAGTATCTGGGTAACCGCGACTATCACAACATTACCTCACTCCTCCGTCACACCTTTTTTTCCATCACCACCACACGAGTACGTCAACTTCACGATGCACCACTTTAGTACGCAACCACAACACCAGGACCCCCCCGTAGCCCCCCTGACGATGCGGGCGAATCACTCTGCTCCCCCTCGGGGTATTGAGTAGAGGACGCCAGGCTCGTTGGGAGTTGGGAAGCGGGATCGGGAAGTGGTGCGGTTCGGCTGGAGAGCGCGTCTGTTGATGGTTGGACGCGTCGTGTCTCCTTTCCCTTCGTCTTCTTTTGGTGGTGCAATTGAACGATGTATTTTTCGGTGATTGACCAGGAGCGGAATGTGTAGGATAGGATTACGTCTTCCTGTTAGATATTATCTGGATATTGAAATGAAATACGCCTTTCGTGTACTATTTGGCTGATTTGAGCTCGAGGGAGGCATTGATGAGATTTGATATGGATGTATTGAGTATTATTGTCCTGTGGGTATTGGTGGATGGAATAATAATAAAAATATTAGCTCCCTGTCTGGGAGTCGAACCCAGCTCTCGCGCGGTACACGTATTTCACATGACAGGCGCGTGTACTAAACCGATATACTAACAAGGATATATATTTTTGTCCTTATCCTACTCTCTTCGAGCCTCCTGTTTCACTCACTCAACACATTTTCATAACTGGGACACGATTAATTAGATTTTGATTAGACGAAATATAACTGAAATGTGCAAGTCACAAAAATTAGGCTCAAAGCTCAAGCTTCAAGCTTTAAGCCCAGTAATTAGAAACCCATGTATTAGTCAACATTTCTAGCAATTATTTCATATTAAATTTATTATTTTACATTTATATACATTACATGTCACCACCAACCTGGCTTTTGGACATCTTTTCATGCTTGAAGGTACTTGATTGATGCAAAGGATTGTTTTGTCATTGTCAATCTTGGTCAATGCATTGGCTTCATATTCATGTTTCTCTTCTTTGCCTTATTTTGCATTATTTGTCCCCTACAGTGTGTGTGAAATCCATCCTTTTCAACAATGCCACTCTTGTTCCCAACCCCCATGTTCTCCCCATTGACCCCCTCCCCCACCACACCAACCCTATTCCTAGGCCAGCATGAACAGAAAACTTTTGAGACCCAACACCACATCCTTACCATGGCCACTCTCTGAATGCCTTACATATCACCACACAGGAAATCCTGGTTTGCCCAAGACATTTCTCAGAAAAATCCCAGGTGTCTGATATTGACTTTTTCAGGCATGAACCTCCCCAATCAGGCTACTGGAATCTGATTTTGCCTGAAACAGCCTGATCAGCTACCCTTTTTAGGTTGAAGCTGTCACAGCATTCTCTGAAAAGGACTGATAATGCAGGATTAGGTGTGATCAGAATAGCTCCTGATAAGGGTGTTTGGATTTTTCCAACACTGTGCTGGGTGTAAGACACAGAGCACAACATAAGGTATGTTAATATAAACCAATCTTGATATTTGGACAAAGCTGGAGTATCCTCTATACAACACAAATGAACTCCCAAAATTGTGTCCAAAATGTGTCTTGCAATATTTTTTCAAAAAATAGTTTCATGCTGCAAAGGTTTTACAGTTTGAGTTTCAATCAGTCAACCTCAGGACAAGTGCAGGTTTGTCCTGATTTGAGCCATGATTTGTCCCCACAAGTTCTCTTGGTTTGTCCTGAAGATAAATTTTGGCTATCCAAAGGAGTTATGTCCAAAAATGGGATATCCTGCCATCAAGGACCAGCATCACTTCTCAAAAAATGCCAGATACAAAATGGTAACCACTTATACTCACACTTACTCACCTTCTCACACCAACAACACAGATTTGTGACAGTGTGTTAGGCTTGATACCCACCCTGCTCAAAAAATTCTCCTGGGCCTTTGCAAATCAATTCAAAAGAGGTGGAGTGGGTGTGGGTGTCAGCCCTCTTGAGAGGGTGCACATATTGATTCTGGTAAGTAATACCTTTCTTATATCTTTTTCAGCTTTATTCAATGTCTACTAGCAACATTTTACATTTGGGAATCAACACCTCATTGATACGATGCTCATTGAAGACAATGCCCTACTGGAACAGTGTGTGACACCAGTCTCACACTCCAACTCAAAAATACTACTACCTGGAGGGTTGCATTGAAAATCTTTGACAGACAACATTCAGTTCATACCAAGTATGGCCAGGTTTTATGCACTCACATCAGCATTTGGGGGAAGTGGGTCAATACAATATGTGGCAGATACTCATTCTTTATTTTTCAAGTCTTTTTGTGAGGAAAATGGATGTTTTACACTATGTAATATGACCAAAACAAGGTGATAATGTGGTATAGAATAAGTTTGGTAAGGTCATGTGATCGTGGGAAAATATTTCCTTTTTGAGAAATGTAAAACACTGTTTGTACATTCTAAATATACAACAACCAGAGCCATATCTGGTCAGGTTGTGGAGAAAAATGCAAAACAAAAAAGGAACAAACTGTAGGAAAGTATTGCCTTTTTGGGGAATTGTAGGCCACTATTTGTATATGCCAAATATATAACAACCAATGCCATGTCTGAAATGGTTATAGAGAAAAATGAAAAACATTAAAATATGAGATGCCTATGCAGTATTTTGATTGCTTTTATTTGGTTATATGATGTCAATGATTATATAAGCTCTCCAGATACATGCAAATTATATATCTGAAATATCTTGTTATGGGAATTCTGATATTCTAGTCTCAAAATAAGAGAGATTCTCATAATGGTAATATTTTCCCATAGTGATGAAGGCAAATAGGTGAAAAAAATTGAACCTGTACCCTGGGGTTATATGGAACAAGTCTTCAGTAAACTAAAGACTCATAATATGTACCATTATAAATTATGAGAAGATATATAAAATCATGAAATAGTAGTATGAAAGGCTCTTTGTATAGATTGCAAATGAGTACCTACTGGCTTCCTGAACCTTTCCTTATCCTCTGCAAATAGTACTGCCAACTCCTCAACTACTGTTTCTCTTGTTCTGTGGACTATGAAACCATATCATTCTCCAAAATTCCCTTGACCCATAACCTTAGCATTTTCCCCACAATGAAAGTCTTGGTATGAACTACTACTGCCAATGGATTCTAGGATCTGTATAGTGAGGCTGGCAAACCAGTGGCACTCCCAACTCAATAGCTTGTAATCTGGGCTGTGGCTGTGCAGTGTGTTGGCAATGACAACAAGGTCATACAACATGATGTTGTCAAATGAGACTTCTACAATCAAGATGTTGCCCTCCTTTGCTTTACCAAGCTCAGCCCCATTGCCTGTTTGAGCAGCATTTTCAACAGGCCAGGCCTTGAGTATGCTGACTTGATCATTAGTTGGACAACCCTTTGAACTCAAATCATTACTAGCATTTGATACCAAGTCAAGATTGATACCAAGTCAAGAGAAGTGAGGCTGGGAGTGAAGAAGAGTTGTGGGGAATCAGACTGATTACTGGAGTCCTGACTAGTGATGATGGGGTCTGACACTCTGAGCCTCTCTAGTTTTAAGTATACTTTGGGGTAACTCTCCTTTGGGGATACTTCTGCAACAATGTACTTATGTTGAGATAATGATTACTCTTTGTACAACTTTATTTTGCATACCAGCAATGACGTTGGATCTTAGAAGCAGTCTATGTACTGTGAAACTGAGAATAGATGAAATTCATCCCATATTTCATCTCTCAAGTAATAAATTTCATCTGGAAGAAGTATGAAAAAACACCCCTGTGGGGGAAAAAAAGGAAGCAAAAACCTTCCTTTAAGGGGTGATTTAGTAGATGGATTTTATCCAAAAATTTGTCTATATTCATACCCCTGATTCTCAATGCTATGGGATGAATTTCACACCATCATGGGTAAAAAAACAACTTTTTGTAGGTGAAAAATCTGACAAAACAGGATTAAATTCACACCTCAATATTATTAATAATGATTTTCTGAGATTTTTCTTTTGTTCCCATGGCTCAATTAAATTTACTTGGGTGGAGTGGGCCAACACATTGTGTGGCAGGTACTTGTTCTTCAGTTCCATTATATCATATGTATCATGTACTCTTCCAATTAATTACTTAGTGAAGGTATATTGAACTACCACA